CCGCCTCTGGCTCGGGAACCCAGCAGCTCTCTGCTCGGCTCGGCGGCGCCTCCGGTCCACCCCCCACCGTCCCCACGGGCCAGGTTCTTTCCCCCGGGCTCGGCCCTCTCCCGCCACGTGGCCCCACACGGGGAGGGGCCGCCAGCGACACCCTCACTCCTCTATGCGGCCCTCCTCCTGGTGGGGAGCGGCCCACGCGTGTCTTTCCAGGAGAGAATTTGAGACACGCCCACCCGGAGCTGAAGCCTGTAGAGGTGGGCGGGGCTTGAATGAAAGACACGCCCAACTTCCAGTGTGGCCACGCCCCACGCGTGTTTCCCTGGCGGCTTCTTGAGTCTCCGCCCATCGGGTTTCCCCGCGCGCTGCCCACGCTGGGAATCGTGTCTGGTTCACAGCACCGCCTGCTGGAGTTGGGATATTTTGCAGCACCCCCAGCTCCCTGCGCTGGGGACAGTAAGAGTTAAAGAGGCTAATTTTGCCGGTGGGGAATCAATGGGAAGGTTGGAACCTCAAATTTTAGAATGCACTACCTAACCTTCACCTGTGTCTCAGTTTGTATAGGGCAGGCACCCTGGCGAACACTGCTTCTGAGTGCAGCAGGGTGGATGAAAAGAGCTTTTTGGAGTCCACCTGGTAGAAATCCAGCTCTGCTACTTACTGTGTGACAGCTTCTGGGAGCCTCGCTTTCTTCAATGTAAAATGGAGCCAATAATTTTTACCTCGTGTGGCTATGACAATTTAATAGCACAAGGCATGTCTTTGGTGCACAATAAGTGTGTTGGAGAGCAGTTGTCTCCTTGTTCTCCCTCCTTCTATCATCCTGATTTAATTCTCCTTCCCTCTGCTGCCATTCAAGTGGAAGAGAGGCTGGAAGCAAGACCGGAGCTCAGAAAGATAGTTTCATGGTGGGCAGTCAGCTTGTAAATCTCCAAAGGTTCGCTAGTGAACTTTGTTCTCCATCTTCTCCAAAATAAAACCAGTGCAGCAGCAAGAAGGACCCAGATGAGACCAGACACAGGACTTTTTCACTATGGAAGCAGAAAATTACTGGGGCAGCTGAGTGTGGGGGCTTAGGGTGGCTGCTTCCTGGAGCAAAATAGCTAAAGCCAGTGACAAAGGGAAAACAGGCCAGGGAGAGGGCAGGCCAATGCTCCCTACCCTCATCCACAGTCTGAGCTGGGCATTATCTGGGATATTATGTTGATTAAAAGTGCCACATCTTTCAGTATTTCTACTTTTGGGTGTTAGTTTCTTAGGGCTGCTGTAACAAAGTGCCACAAGCTGGATGGCTTAAACAACAGAAATTTGTTGTCTCAGTTCAGGAAGCTAGAAGTCCAAGATCAAGATAACCGCAGTTTGTTCCTTTTGGAGGCTGTGGGGGAGTATTTGTTCCATGCCTGTCTTCTAGTTTCTGGTGGGTTGTTGGCAGTCTTGAGCATTTTTTGGCTTGTAGATGCATCCCACCTCTGCCTTCATGTTCACATGGGTTCCCCTTGTGTGCATTTCTGTGTCCAAATCCCCCCGTTTTATAAGGACACTAGTCCTGTTGGATTAGAGCCCCACCCTATTCCAGTATGACCTAATTTTAACCAATTTCATCCACAAAGACCCTATTTCCAAATAAGGTCACATTCTGAATTGCTGGTGGTTAGGACTACAACATATGAAAGGGGGCGGGAGGGAGGCGCACAATTCAACCTGTAACAACTGTGTTTGGCTAAAATTGCAGGAAAATCTTGCCCTAGCCCTGCTTAAGAACTTCTCCTAACTCCCAGCTACCTACAGGATAAAGTGCAAAGCCTGATGATTGGTGAGGGCCTGCACCTCTGGGCTGCACAAATCTAACTGCCTGCCCCTCAGCGCCTCACTGCTCCCCACACCCTGTACCCCGCGCTGTAGCCCTCGGGTAGATTCATGTTGAACCTCGTATTCCCTGTCTTTTCGGCAGGCACGGCTCCCCTGCTTCCTACCCAGTTGGATTCGGCTCTTCAATACAGCCTTCTTTGCTCTTTCTCTCCCGAGAATCTCTGTAAACATCCCAATACAGAAAGACTAGTAGAGCACTGAGGGACATGTCTGTCCCCATACTCCCATCCAAACATGCACATATACCGTTCTCTCCGCAGCCCAGGGCTTTGCACAGTTCCTCGCTCTGGGAGGTCCCCACCCGAGAGTGTTTCGGGTTCAGAGGCGCCCAAGCTCAGGTGCCCCGAGACGGGCCTCCAGGTTTTCTGGCTCTTTATAGTTTGCAAGACTCTCACGCCCCCTGGAGGGCCGGACGCGACCACATAGGGACAGAGAAAAGCCATACTAACAGAGACTCGTCTTTATTGCCCTTTTTCTGGGGGCTGACACCGGGAGGGCAGAGGGGAGAGAGCTGGGGCAGAGGGGAGAGGGCAGGGACAGAGTAGGGCCAGGACAGGACCTGAACAAGGGCTCAGACCCCAGACGGTCCCCCAGGCGCGACAGACGAGGCGGCCGCAGCGGGACAACGGCGCCCTGGGCATGGGTGCGGCGCTGGCTCTGCGCCTGCGCGGCGGCCCATGGTTAGGATGCCGGCCGCGTGGTTGCCACTGGCCTGCAGGAGGCGCTGCAGCCGGCCCTGGAGTCCCGGGGCCCCCGGCCGCCTCTTGCCCAGCGTGAGGATGCCGGCCGCGTGATTGCCCGCGCCGTGCAGCAGCTCGTAGAGGCGGCAGGAGCAGGTCTTCTGACGGCAGCAGTCAGGCAGGGGCTGCGCGGCCGCCCCTGGCGACAACAGCGCAGGCGGCAGCAACAGCAGCAGGAGCAGCAGCGTCACGGTGGCCCAGGAGACCTAGTGAGGCAGGAGACCAGACACTAAGGGTCGTCTCACAGCCCCAGCATCCAGCCTCTAGGCCCTGGCCCTACCCAGCTGGCTCCGTGCCCACTCCTGGCCTGCGCTCCTCCCTCGCTGTCCCTTAGCTTTCCTGCCTCTGCATAATGCTATCTGAAAGGCTCAGTATCTTGTGCCTTTACCTGCTCACCCTTCAAGAGCCAGCAGAGCATCTCCTCCAGGAGGTCCTTTGAAACCCCCTGGGTAGAATAAAGGAGACCCAGAAAATAGTACCCCATCTCTCTTCCGGGTAGCCTTAGTCCATTGTACCCCTTTAGAGCGCTGACCACTCCACCTGAAAACAAGAGTGTCTGAATCTGCACCAGAAATTTGCGGAAACATCACTTAAGGAAAGAGAGTACCTATTTATCCGCTCCTTTTCCCCCACGGAGGGTAAACATGTGCAAATCAAGAACTGGCATGATCCAAGTCATTGTCTTGTCCGCCTGCTCCCCCGCAGGGAAAACAACCCTGTGGCTTTGGACAGGTTTCCTACCCTCTCAGGGGGCATAATTTCCTCACTTATAAAGTGGGTATTAATTCCTACTGTGCAGCAGGGCTGCTAGGAGGATGAAGTGAGATGACAGGTGCAAATACAGCACCCAGTATGTAGTAAGTGCTCAAAAAACATGAACTCTTAGGAGACCAGGGCACAATCTAATGTTAGCCAAGGCAGATTCTCAGCCAAGGGTCCACCTTGTCCCCTGCCTCAGAGCCCACATGGGAAAAGACCAAGAGCAATATACCTTCAACCTTTCTCCAGCTCCCTGAGCAAGCACTCATTGCCCCCCACTTCCCATCTAATGAGTCACCCCTCCATCCCTGGATCCTTACCTTTGCAGAGGAAGGGTTCATGGTACCTGGAGCTCAGAGTAGGGTAGCCAGGAAAGGTGTCGTCGGCGGTGGTCCAAATAGCCAGGAACTTTGAGGCCGTGAACTGCAACCTGCTACCAGAGGCCTGGGGTTTATAGTGCTCTGAGGTGGTGGGGGAGAGATGGGCACTTGCATCTACTCTGGGGCCAGACAAAGGCAAATCTAAGATTAGACTCCAGCGGGGGGGCCGTCTCCAGGCTGGGCCCAAGGAATGGCCGCCAAGGCGCTCAGAGGCTGGAGTTGGATCACTGTGCCGCTGGTCCCCTCCTTGTCTGTCTGCCTGCTCCCTGGAGATGGGGCGGTCTCCGGGCACTAATGAGGCCACCTTGCACCTAGGAATCTGGGAGCACAAAAGAGGCTTTGGCTGGGGTGCTTGCATGGGACAATGTGTGGGGGGCAGCTGCTAATTAGGGACAGGAAAGGAGGCAGTTGTGAGACCTGCTCTCCACAGGGTGTGTAGGGGCGGGGAGGGCAGCCAGGCAGCAACCTCTTCCCCCGCTCCTTGTCACTGCCCCTGGGCCTTCAGATGCTAGGGCCTTCTTCCTCTACAAAAAAGATCTTAGTTGGCTACTGCTCTTCTCTGGCTCTCTTCTTCCCTCTCCCTTTTCCACCAACCTCCAAGATGGAAAACCTTGAAAGGCAATCCTGGGCAATGGGAGGAAAGCAGCCAAACTTGGTGTTATCCTCCAACATCTCCAGCTTCCTACATAGTTGTGCTGCCTGGACGGGAGGGATGGAGTCCCATCCCATCAGCAGGGAGTGAGCCACTATGGTGTGAAGGACTCTTTAGATGGGAGTCTCTTTTATCCAGGGCACCATCTATCGAGCACCAGTTCTGTGCCTGGCCCTGCTCTGGGCGCTGGAAGCAACAGTGTGCATGGGACATAGCGCAGTTTTCAAGGAGCTCCAAAGTCCAGGTGGGGAGGTGACCCAGCAAAATGATAGCTCAGTGGAGAAAAGACTCTGAAAAAAGCCTTGCATGAAAAATGGGTTTCCATCAAGTACAGTCAGGGGAGAAGGCATTCCGCAGAAGGCGTAACCTGAGGCAAAGACCTAGGTGACAGTTGTTTAGCTTATGCAGGATGCAGGATGTGGTTCTCAGATCACAGCTTCTCTTAGAAGAGAGAGGTGGCTGGACAGGTAAGTGAGGTCAAAGGGTCTTATAGGCTAAGCTGATTGGTCATGATCCTATGGGCGCTGGGGGGCCTTGGGAAGATTTTAGTAGGAAGGAGTCGTGGGCTGATGTGGGGACCAGGTGGGTAGGGGCCTGGATGTGGGGCATGGAATCTAGAAGTAGTAATTCAGAGGCAGAATTCAAGGCTTGGAACTGATTGGGAACAGGTGCTGAGTTACTTAGGCGGAGCTGTGAGGCTTTGGGTAAGTCTTACAGCCTTGAGAAACCTCATCTTTCCTACAGGTAAGATGGACAGTTAACCCAGATGTTTCCTGCTGTTATACTTCAAGATTTGAAGTACAAACACTGCCCAAGGAAGTGGCTTCTGGGTGTTGGGCCAGGAAAGGAATCTGTGCTGAACCAGGGCAAGGGGAATTGGGGAGCAGCCCCTCCACATTTTAAAGCTTGGAATGGGGAGAGGGAGGAGGAGGGGACTCTGTGTCTTCTGGGTTGACATAGGCTATGGTAGGGGTTCAAGGGCACATACACTGGCCAGGAGGGGAGACTTCAGGGGAAGCCCTGGGATCCAGAGCTCAAGGGGGAGGGGGAGTCCAGGCTGCAGCAGGAGCAGAGCGAATGGAACCGCTTGTTTCCCTCAAAGCAGACCCCGAGCCAAGAATCTGGGTGCAAGACGTTTATTTGGGAGGGGATTCTAGAAAGCACGTAAGGGAGTGGGGACGGGAGGGACAGGAGGAAAACCAGTAAGAACTGTGTTAATGAGAGGGTTACCTCTGTGGGCAACTGGTGGGGACTCTCCGAAACAGATGGTACAGAATAACTTCAGAATTGTCCCACTGAGGGACAATGAAGCTGAGATCTGTGTTCACCAACTCCTGTTCCTTGCTGACTGAGGCTCACTCCTGGGAGCATTAACTCCCAATACTTCCAGCCTGCCCAGTGCATGGGCTGAGAGACACAGGCACCATCAGTGTGCATTGGAATTCCAGTGTCCTCCAGGGTGGGCCCGTGGGCTCCAGGCAGGGAACTGCTGGGATCTGTTCTATCCTTGAAGTCAACTCCTCAGAACTGGCAGACGAGGTCAGGCCTCCCTAAGGCCCAGCAGCTCTGATGAGCTACTGACAGGTGACAGTCAAAGACTCTGGCCAAGGGCTCCCCATTCACAGAGGACCCACAGGAAAGAGCGAGGCAGCACACAAGTGGGATGGGGCGGTGGGCAGGCCTCAGCTCAGGACACCACTCTCTTCTGCAGGAGCTGGGCCAGGTGCCTGTGCCGGAGGACCCGGGGCATCTCAGGAGGGAAAGGGGACGAGGGGCAGGCAGCAAGGGCTGCCCGAAGAGCTCTGAAGGCCCCCTGCCCTACCAGGTGGACTTGGGCAGGGCCCACACTGCCCCGGAACCGCAGGGACTTGTAGCCAGCAGAGGTTTCCTGAAGGCAGTGGTCAAGCTGGGAACAGAAGAGCCTGAGTGAGGCTGGTGTGGGGCTGGGGGGCGTGTGGGTGAGATGCTTATGGTAGTGCCCAGGGTTTGGGTGGGTAGGAGTTTCCTGTGTACACGTGTGTGTCTGTGGGACTCATCCCTCCCTTCCCAGTGCCTCAGGGAGGTTCTTCTCCCCTCTCTCCTCCCCCATCCCTCCCTCTGCCCACGACACCTGGGGGCATGCAGAGTGAAGGGCACATACAGTCATATGCTGTCCCTCCCTCTATTACCTTGTCTCGATTTTCCTCTGACAAGTTCCTCAGCCCCTTCAGTGCCACAAACACCTCATAGTGGGGGGCAGAGCCCTCTGAGGAATCTGCAGACAAAGCCCCCCACCGCAGACTCACGCTTTTGTGAATGAGGCGGCTTCCATAGCCAACACCTGTTCTTCCTCACTCTGAGGTTCATGGAGGGGGATAGGGGAGGAGTTTCTTGGCTGGGAGAGGGGTAAATGGAGAGGAGATGGGTAGAGACTGCAGCAGAAGGGAACGGAGTTAGATATGGGGAAGGAGTTTTGTTAGGAGCAGCAAAGGAGGCTGAGTCTTTCCTCCTTCCTAGAGGTCTCCGAGCAGGATGGGTATGGATTGGGGGATGGTCAGCCCAAAGAGGGAGGCAGGCGCCAATGGAGAAGAATTACCCAGAATGCTGCTTTCCACACAGCCATGGTCCAACAGCTTGGCCCCCGGCCACTGCCTCACCGCCTGGTCCAGGGCCTCAGAGAACACGTCCTCACCAGTGTTCTCTCCTCGAACACTCAGGGTCTGGCCCAGCCTAGGGAGGAGGAAACTGGAGGCAGAGGAACCCAGGGCACAGGGATGTCCCCTCAGCAACAGGGGGGCCACTTACCTATAGATGAACCTGACGACTGGACACTGATTGTAGGCACCAACCACCTGGACCACGTCGCCCAGGCGGCACCTGATGGAGTGGACGTGGGAGTGAGGTCAGGCCCAGGGGCCCATTAGCTCAGGCCCCTGGCCCTCAACGGGGTTCCAGAAGGCCTGAGGTGGCCGGAGGTGGGTGGGCAGGTGATCACCTGGTGAGGCTGGCGTGGTCGGTCAGCACCAGCTCGTATTTCTCGCCTTTCTGGGCCTCAGCCAGCAGGACGGTGGGGGCAGCCTCTTCCCAGTCTCCTTCCTTGAGTGGCAGCAGCTCAATAAAAGGGGCTTCCGGGAGCAGAAGGTAGAGCCCACGGGGCTGGTCTGGCCATAGACTCAGGCCCACTACCCCTGTGGGGAGCAAGCAGCCTCTTTGTCTGGTGGTGCCATTGCTAGGCCCCTTACCCTGGACCTCAGGCCCCAATCCTCTGAGCATCTGATGTCACTGCTGCCCTTCCACCTTCCTGACTCCCCCAGGCTCAGCCCACTGCCTTTAAGTTCCTAATTAGGTAGAGGCAGGGGTTCTGCAGCAGACAGATGTGGGGGTAAATGTTGGTGTGGTGTAAATTGTGTAAGTCTCCTAACCTCTATGAGCCTTAGTTTTTTCATCTGTAAAATGGAGCTGCTGGTGTTGGGGAGGATACACAGGGTGTTGTGGAGGATTAAAAGAGTTGACTGTATAGGGCTCACTACATGTCAGCTAGCTGTGTGACCTCTGCCCCCTTCCCTTACCTCCCTACCCTTGAGTTTTGCTGACCTCCAGAGGCAGCGTAAGCAGGCGAGAAGAAGGCTAGCCCTTGGCACCACAAGGCCCCCAGGGCAGCCACAGCCTCGGCCTGGCCTCCGGCGTCCAGAGTCACCACCACCTGCAGATTTGGCCAGAGCCGACGGGCCAGTCCTCGGGGTCCCTGCTCCAGAGCCTCCTGCAGTTCAGCAGCCCGTGTGGGGAGAGGCGCTCCTGGGTTCCCAGTAGCTATTGCCTCAGCCAGCTCTTCACCATCGGCCTCCAGGCCTAAGAAGACGTCCAGGAGCTCGACAGCTGTCCTGGCTTCCAGTGCCTGCAGCCCTGGGAACCTCAGCGCCTCCAGCAGCAGGGCCCTAGCGTCCTTGGCTCCAGGGGGACTCACCAGGCCCAGGAACTGCCAAGGCCAGGGGAGTGGGTAGAGCCAAGGGGAGGAAGGGGTCACGAGGGCCCTGCCCCCCGGAGCCAGCACTTTCGGGTAGGCGTTGTTTAAGGCCGCCAGACCCAGCAAGGTGGCCTGGAGGGAGACAAGAGACAGCGTTGGCCTGGGCCTGAGCCAGACTCTGAGCCCCCAGTCTTTTTTTTCCCACCACCCTGATAGGAGGGTTTGTAATTAGGGGTCTCTAATGGGGCTGAGCTCCAGCCTTCCCAGTTTACCTGCAAAGAGACCCCATGGTACTGGTTTGGGGTAGGGGGCAAGAGCTGCCCCCCACTTTCTTCCTCCTGGACCTGGCTGGCCTTGGTCAGAGGAAGATGATTCCGGAAGGTGCTCATATCTGTAGCCCCAAAGACATTATAAAATCCTCAGGAAGCCACAGGGTTTCCCCAGAGTTTCAGGCAATACTGGTGAGACCCTTGAGGAAGAAACCCAGAACAGGCCAGGCGGAAGAGGGACTCTCAGGGCCCAGGCTGGGAAAGTTCATCTTGAACAATCCAGGGCCGGGGTAGGGTCTCTGGGTCGGGCCTCTCTGTGTTGGCAGTAGAAGGGGGAAGGGAGGTCTTCGGGTTTTGGAATCTGACTGTCCTGTGGGGTTTCTTTCTCTTTGGGCCACCTCCCCAGACCCTGGGAAACACACCTGTGCTCCTGCTGAGGGGCCAGCGGGGACCCTGGGCTCCCTGCAGACACCACCTCAGGGCCTGCTGCTGGCTCTGGCCTGCTCTCTGTGTGCTCTGCTCTAGTCTCTTCTGCTGCCAGGCGGCGGCCCAGTGCAGGGCCCCCTGGGCCACACGGTGCTGGAGGCTGACAAGCCAGGACAGCCTGGCATTCTGAGACTGTGGCCACCGGAGCACGGCCAGTGGTGGCAGCAGCAGCAGGAGGAGGAGGAGGAGGAGCAGCAGCAGCGACAGCAGCATCTCTGAGCAGCTCCTGGGAGGAGGAAGGGCCCCCAGGACTGGTATTGGGCGGAGAAGGGGATAACCCATTTCTCCCCCTACACTCTGCTGCATACAGGAAAACCAAGTTAAAAAGGAAGTTCAGGAAGAAGCCAGGACCCCTGTCAGGCAGGTTATTTGGAGGAGGGGCTTTGGGGTCACACTGACCTGAGTTTGGATCCTGGCTCTGCCACTTGTTAGCTGTCTGGCCCTGGGTAGCTCAGCTAGCTGCTCTGAGCTCCGTTCCCTTCCCCCGTTTGTAAAATGGGAATCAGAATATCCCTCAGGAGGAGCAGGAAGGGCGTGGCACAGAGCCTGGCACACAGCAGCTGCTTAACTGGATGACATGTCTTGCCCACTCCTGAGCGGCTCTGCTTGGTCCAGGATCTACCCTGTCCCAGCATCGTGTCCCCCCGGAGCCCCAGGCAGTGGTTCCCTGCCCCACATGCACCTGTCACAGCTCACTTGTGCCTCTGCCTGGCACCCAGGGCTCCCCCAGCGACCCCAGCCTCAGTGCACAGCCAGCAAGAAAGATGGAGCCGTGGCTTTAAAGCGCTGGGCCTAGATGGGGAAATCCGGCAGCTGGGCCTGAGGGAGGAGCTGGTGATGGGGAGGGGGGGCTCTTAAAGGGACAGGTTGCCTAAGGGACGCCATGCTGGGAGCTGGCCCAAGCTGGCAGGTGGAGGGAAGTTAGGTTCAGAGTAGCATGGTCCTCAGACTCTGGTGAAGGAAGAGAAAGCTGAATGTGGAAGAGCACCTAGAATCAGCTTGAGCCTGGAGTGGGGCGCACCCCATCCTGGAGCAGGATGAGAACTGTTAAAAAACCAAAATTTTCTCCAATTCAGAATTGCTCTCCACAAAAGTAGTAGAGAAAGCAAATACTTTTGTTATTGAATAAGCATTAAACCAGAGTGTGACAGATCACAGGCAATCCACTAAAACTGCAGACAGATAATCTCACTCCCTTTTAAAGCCATTGTCAAATCTAAGGTCGTAAAGATTTACCCCTTATGTTTTCTTCTAATAGTTTAATAATGTTAGTTCTCTCATTTAGGTCTTCGATCCATTTTTTATTACAGTAAAATATACATAAGATTTACCATTTTAGCCATTTTTAGGTATTCACTTCATTAGCGTTTATTACATTCACATTGTTCTGCAACCATCACCACCATCCATCTCCAGAACTCTTTTCATCTTTCCAAACTGAAACTCTGCACTCATTAAACAATGACTCCCCATTCTTCCTCCCCGCAGCCCCTGGCAACCACCACTCTATTTTCTGTCTTTATGAATTTGACTATTCTAGGTGCCTAACATAAGGCAAATCATACTATATTTGTCCTCTCGTGTCTGTTTTATTTCACTTAGCAGAATGTCTCTAAGATTCATGCATGTTGTAGCATATAGTCAGAAATTCCTTCCTTTTAAGGCTGTATAATACACCACTGTATGTATAGACCACATTTTGTTTATCCAGTCATCTATTGACAGACATTAGTATTGTTTTCACCTTTTGGTTATTGTGAATAACACTGCTATGAACCTGGGTGTACAGACACATGATTGAGTCCCTGTTTGCAATTCTTCTGAGTATATTCCCAGAAGGGGAAGTGCTGGATCACATGGTAATTCTGTGTTTAATTCTTTGAGGAACCATCGTGCTGTTTTCACAGCAGCTGCACTATTTTACATACTTACCCACAGTCCACAGGGGTTCCAATTTTTCCACATCCCCTAAAGCAATTGCTGTTTTCTGTGTTTGTTATCATTTCTCATGAGTCAGCCTGATGGGTAAGAAGTGGTATCTCACTGTAGTTTTGATTTGCATTTCCCTAATGATTGAGCATCTTTTCGCGTGCTCATTGGCCACCTGTCTATCTTCTTTAGAAAAATGTCTATTCATGTCATTTTCTCATTTAAAAATGTTGTTGAGGAATTCTTTATATATTCTGGTTATTAATCCCCTATCAGACATGTGATTTGCAAATATTTTCTCCCATTCTAGGGGATGCCTTTTCACTCTGTTAATAGTGTCTTTTGATGCACAGAAGTTTTTGATTTTGATGATATCCAATTTATCTTCTGCTGCCTATGCTTTTGGTGTCATGGCCAAAAAATCATTGCCAAATCCAATGCCATGAAGCTCTCTTTGTTTCCTTCTAGGAGTTTTATAGTTTTAGCTCTTACATTTAGGTCTTTGATCCATTTTGAATTAATTTTTGTATATGATGTAAGGTAAGGTTCCAACCTCATTCTTTCACATGTGGCTATCCAGTTATCCCAGCACTATTTGTTGAAAAGACTATTTTTTTCCCATCGAATGGTCTTGGCACCCTTGTCAAAAATCAACTGACCACAGACACATGGGTTTCTTTCTAGACTCAGTTCTATTCCACTCATTTATAGGTCTGTCCTTATGCCAGTACCACACTGTCGATTGCTGTTACTTTGTAGTTTTGAAAGTGGTAAGTGTGACTACTTCAACTTTATTCTTCTTTTTCAATTGATTATGTAGGAGTGTATTGTCTAATTTCCATATATTTGTGTGTTTTCCAGGGCTTTTGACAAAGATGTTCCACATCATTAGTCATCAGGGAAAAATACAAATTAAAACTGACTCAAGTCACATCACACTCCACCTGGATGGCTATAGTCAAAAGGTCAGAAAATAACGTGTTGGCAAGAATATAGAGAAACCGGAACCTTTATGTAAGATGGCACAGCAACCTTGAAAACCAGTTTAGCAGTTCCTTGTTACTTGTCCAAGTAAACCAGCTTACTTGTTTAGGGAGTGGCTGGATTATTTTAGTGAATCTATCTGCTCCCCACTACTCACCCCCACATACAGTGTAAAGCCTCTGATATTGCTCCTTAGAGGGGGTGCAGACTTGACTTATGCCCATAGTCACCCTAGCATGACAGTGATTTTCACGTGTTGGTCTCTTTCCCTGACCACACTCAGCTGTGAAACTACACTAATTGTCAGCTGATAGCTATATATATATTTTTTTCAACAATGCCCTGAGGAATAAATTGCTCCACAAATGGATCTAATCAAATTCAGACTTCTTTGAAGGCACAGTTTCACAGCTCAGTATTTGAGATTTGTTTGGACCCCGAAAGAGTTCCTTCCAGCTATATTGTTCCCCATTTCTAGCAAACTAGCCTGCCCCGTTTTGCCTAAATCTCCAATGAAGCTATCGGTCCTGTGCCAATTGCCTTTTACCACAATCTCCAGATTTAAAGAGCATATTTAAGCTTGAACTTCTCTTGCAAATGAAGTCAGTTGCCTCTGTTTTACAGCCTGTCTGTCCCCTCTGGGGCAAAATCGCTAAGACTCAGCTCCCGTGTTGGGGGTAGGATGGCAGCACACTTGAGTGATATGCCCACTTAAAACGCTGAGTGCTTGGGAGCTGGGGGCAGAATGAGCAATGCTGACATCCTGCCTTTCCTCAGAAGAAAACCCTCTGATTGAGAGCCGGAGGGGAGAGGGAGCTCTGTGTTCTTGGCTGCACTGGTCTCCGAGTGGAGTCCTTTTGAGCTAAGAGACAGGAAGGAGGGAGTGGGTCTTAGTTCAAATACCACACTTACTAAGTTTTAGATTTTCTTGAATAAATGTTTCTTCATTTGCTATATGCTCTTAGGAGACTTTCAGTGGTTGGTTTAAAAAAAATTGTCACCAGTTTCACTGGGGAGTGGGTCTTCAGCTGCCCATGCTGTGACACCAGGAGTGGAAGTCTTGTCGCCCACTTTTCAGTGCCCTACAACCAACTGGTGCCCCTGCCTTTCCAGATTGTTCTCACCAAAGTCATCAACAGCCCCCTGAATGCCATCTCAGCGGGGACTTCCGACTCTCGGTTGTCTCTGACACGCCCCCCTTGCCTGGGCTCTCGTGAGGCTACACTCTTCCGGGTTTTCTCCTACCTCTTCCACCCTCCCTGTAATATCCTTTATAAGCTCATGCTCCTCCCTACCTGACCCTTAAAATGAAGCACAGTATTTCTGTCGGTCCTGTCCTCAATTCCCTTTCTCTTATTTCTCCAAACGCTCATTCACATCCAGTTACAATACCCCCTAGATAAGAACGAGCCCCACGCCTGCTTCTGCCCAGGCTCCCATCGGTACCTCTCAGGCCGGATCGCGCTCTCAGGCCTCACAACTACATGTCTACTTTGACAGCCCAACTTCACTGATCCAGATTCATACTCATAACCCCTCCCAACCTGCTCCTCGTCCCATACACCCTCCCCCTCCCCCTCTTACTGAGGAGCGTCTCTGTTAAGCATTTAGGAAGCCAGAAACCCGGGCTTGCTCAGGACTCCAACCCTGCCCCTCAACATCGGCCCCTAGTCTACATATTGAGCCTCAGGGCCACTGCTGGGTCCCCTGGTCTAGACCCTCATCTCCTCCGACCAGACTGTTGAAATAGCCTCCCAGCTGCTCCCTGACTTCTTGCTTTGCATCCTTTCAATCCATCATACACGTGATCACTGTAGTATTTCTTAACGTGAACATCTGATCATTCCCTTGTTTAAAAGGTATGCAGGTGAAGTCAGACTCAGCCTGGCACACCAGGCCTCATCACCTACCACAGCCCTTCTCAAAGTTCGGTCCTGGTGCTAACACTTGGGAACTTGTTAGAAATGCAAATTCTTGGGCTTCGCCCCAGATCTACTGACTCAGAAACTCTGGGGAGGGGCCCTAGCAATCTGTGCTTTAACAAGACCTCCAGGAGATTCTGATGCCCACAAATCACCCTCGCTCCACCCCTACTGTTTCCTACTTCTCCAGGCCTCTACCTGTGCTACTGCCTCTGGCTGAATGCCTTTGCCTTTCTTAACCTCTATTTGTTCTTTAGATGTCAGCTCAGGCTGTTCATGCCCTTCCTCTGTGCTCTTTTGTATTTGATAATAGTCTTAGGCTATGTTTGAGGCAGCAGGAGCCAATATCCTATCATGATTGATTGTGTTAACTGTCTTTCCCAGACTGCAATTCTCTTGAGGGCAGGAATGATTTCTCATGCCACACACTGCGCCTGGCTCAGGGCAGGGACTCTAAATGGCCTGAATTTTAAGGATGAGCTTTCTAACAGGAAGAGTATGGAGTCAGGAGACTCGGAGATACAAAGGCTATCATTCTAATGTTCAAAACCTCTCCTGAACAGGAAGGGAGGAAATGCCCCCCCCCCCCCCCGTGGCCTCCGCCGCTGCTGACGTGCTTTCTGAGGCAGCCAACTCCCAGCTAGTTCCCCTTTACAGTCACGCTGACAATTCCAAATTTTTCTCTATTGAAGACACCCTCTCTCCTCACCTGATGGGAAAAAAATAAAGACAGGACTCAATGTTGTCCCTTCAGAGGGAGTCTTTATTCTAACATAAAATACACAATTTTGTGACTGCCCCCAATTGTACACAATACTTTTTCAGTGGCTATATACTAATCTGTCTCAACACTAAAATACGTATCTGAGATAATTTCACAAAGTTTTAAAAAGAAAAATTATAAAAAGTATGCGTACATTTTAAGTTATAGTCACTGTGAGTCTCCCTACTACCTCCTACAAAACCCTGCACATTCCACACACTGAAACATCTGACGACTTGTGTGTGCCCGGGAGCGAGGGAGAGGCTGACGTGGTCAAGACTTGCCGTCGCCCTGCTCGTGGTTTGCAGGAACAGGGAGAAGAGAAGACACAATGCAGATAGCGAGCACAACTTTCAGTCAAAAATCTCTCCTATCTACCGGCACAGCCTCAGGAAAACTGAGGACAGCTCGGCCACTGGACACACCTGAACCCCACATTCAGGGTGGCCACACCCCTGGGCACTCGGTCCCCCAGCCCCAGCGCCAATTAAGAAGCAAGGAGAGCTCTGTCCTCAGCATGCCCGGGGACAGGCCCACTGCTAATCTTAAAGGGTGTTGATCCTGATCCCCAGGGAAGGTTGCCAGGTCACTCAGGGTGCCTGGGTGGCGGGCACAGGGGGTTCCTGGACTCAAGGAGCAGTCACACTTCATTTTCCCCATTCCCCAACACTCCCATTCTGGGGGGTGGGGTGGATTTTAATCAAATCTTGAGGGGGAAGTGAGGGGCCTAGCAGCATCCTACGTCAGTGCTGGTATCCACGGAGGGGTCGGCCTGCTCCTCAGAGGCAGAGAGGTTCTACTGCCTGGCATAGAAAAATAAATCAGTGTATGAAACAAAGCCAGGGCAAACAGCAGCTTTTAAAAAGTCATCTTCCAATAAATAATTTACCATAGAGGAGTATTTTCCTTTAACATCAAAACACTGATAAATTCAGAAGTTATTTTTGTAAAAAAAATATGTTTATTTAGTCACTTGTATAAAAATAAGGTTTTTAGGGCCATTCTCTCCTGGGTGTGGACAGGCCCTTCTTTTGGAGAGGGGGCCGGGGGTTAAGGCCTAACCCAAAAGCTGTACCTGCCTCCCCCTCTTCCCACCTGCCTGCCGTAGCCCATTCCTTCCTTCCCGTGTAAAGCTATGGAAGAGACTATAGACAACATTGTGCTGAGGCTTGTTTTGCTTTGTTTCTGCAGCTCACCAAACTTCCCAGCAAACCTGCTGACTGCATTTCCCCAAACTGCTGATGCTGACACCCCGCACCCTGCACCGGGTGGGCCACACACCCGCCGAATGCACTGGCCCTGGGCTTCTGCCACCTGCTCCCCAAGACATCATGTGTGATGCAAGGGAAATGAGGCGGCTGGTGTAACAACAGCTCAGGACCTGATGCAGGAAGAAAGAATCCTGGTGTCAAATTAGGGTGGGAAGGGGAAAACAAAAAGTCCCAACTTAGAAGCAAAAACACCCCTCAACATTTGCAAAAAGCGGTTATCAGTGAGCCTTTGGAAAGCCTGGCTTGTGCCTCCAGCAGCACAGGGGAGGGGTGGGCAGACTGGACGGCCACTCCCAGGCAACACGGAGACCCCCTCGGCGCCTGCAAGCCGGGGCTGGGCGTTCCACTCTGGCTGCAGCACAAAGGACGGCAGTGCTGTAAGCGGTGGTCATGGGACCCTCTTGTCTTTCCTCTGCTTCATCAAACGTGTCTGCACACGCGTACACATGTAGGAATTAAGTGGCAATCCCACAGCGGAGGAGAGAGAGAACATTTAGATGGGTTAAAGTGCGATTTACAAAGCCACTACCCATCGGAAAACTCGCGACTTCCCTGGCCCCAGCAATTGCTGTATGTCCACCAGGAAAACAGGGGTCAGGGGAGAGGGAAGGAGGGAGGACTGGCTTTCTTTGTCAAAAGGCAGTTTCTACATTTCAGAAGAAAAGCAGAGACAATCAAGGTATCAATGGCTTGGCAGACACAGCAACAAAATCTCACTGGAGAGGAGGCGCTCTCACCTCCTTCTGTCCTCCTCTCACTTGAACAGCCACATGTCAAAGTTCAGCTGCCCTCGACACATGGCCAAGTTCCAGGGTTCATGGAACTAACTACCTTTTTGCACAAGGTTAAAACAACCACAGCTTCTGTTTGTGGCTTCTGTTTGTGCAGCTAAACTCTGGACAGCAAAGGGGAGAAACACCACAACATGCAATCACACACACACACACACACACACACACACTCTCACACACTCTCACACACTCCCTTCACTGGTGCCACCATGCACAGAAACACTAAAGTCACAACTAATATTAAACACTTCACATTATGAGTATTGTTTCCAAAGAGAAGCGATTCATGGAATTAAAACATCCACAAGAGTAACTCCTCTGGCAAGGATAGAGAAGATGAAGGTGGCCATGAGGGTGGTCATGACTGCGCGTGCGGGATCCACTGACTGTCCATAGGTCGGCCTAAAAGCTCCTCCACACGCCGTGCCACATCCATCGTGTCATCCAGATCGAAGTCCCCATCGTTGTCAAGGACGGGGTCCGGGCTTGGGAGGGAAAGAAGAGAGGTTAAGGGGAAGAGAAAGGTTCCCCCAGAGGCCAATGAGGAGCCACAGAGACCACCCCAAGCCCCGCACCCCACCAGGTGAGTGGCTCAAGACTGCCTGTACCCTTGGCCTAGGCCTCATGGGACAAACAGCACTCCTGATCTGACCCCTGAGAGGGCAGAGTCCTTTGCTAGCTGGCTGGACAAAGTGACTCGGACTAAAACACCCAGCCTTCCCACCCCTAACACTGGCTGCCCACATATCTAAACCCCACCTGGTCCTTAGACAGAGCAAGCAACATCTGTTTTGGGAGAGAGAAGCAGATGCCACCTGCCAACCCCACTCTAAACTACCAACATCTTCTGGTCGAATTTCTTCCTCTCACCTGGGCCTGTGCCACAGCCCGGCCTGGGCTGGGTGGTCTCAGACCTAGGGGAGCTCTGAATGCCCACCAGCCCTCTGGGGGCCCAGTCAGAGTGCCCAGTTCCTCCCCTCCGAGACCCAGGAGAACACAACCTACTTCTGTGGGTAAATGTTATAATGAGCCTGGGGGCACACGGCCGGGGACGGGGCCTGGTCCATGTAGGTAGCGCTGCCCCCAGCAGAGTCTGCAGAGGCGCTCACAAACCTATGGGAGAGAGCAGAAGGGAGCATCAGCAGCCTCGGAGCAGCAGCTGATGCAGCGAGGGGTTCAGGGGGCATCTTCATGTCTTTTTCAGGTGTAGAAGGACAAGGGCCTGCCGAGCCTGGGGCTCTGGCTGCAGGACTGGAGCCCTGGGTACTGGCCCCCTTGTGAGCAGACCCAGTTCCCTCCCCAGGGCTGGGCCAGGTGTGAGGGGGAGGGAACACTGGGCCCCTCAGTGGGAGGGGGGATGGTGAGAGGTGAGGAGAGGGGAGGAGGGGATGGGGGGAGAAAAGAGGCAGCCCCAAGACCAGAGCCGGACCCTGGACACTTACTCAGGGACCACTTGCTTGATCTGTGGCTTCACGTATCCGTCCACTGCTTTGGCTGCAGGGGGAGGGAGGACGGTGATGAGAACCAAAGTTCTCAAATGAAATGAAAATTCAGTCTCTCTTAAGAATCCCATCTTTACTGAGGATAAGACACAACCGCCTCATTTTATCTTAGGATCTGGTACAAGGACGTATCTGTTAGGAGGACTTGCTATGGGAGAAGCCTCAGTACTGACAATGCAAGTTGAGATAGCTTCCAAGTTAGCCTGGATGTGTTAATAAATTCTTCAAACCACAGAAAAGACACACTTTAATACAAATCTAAAGCAAGCATTCACTGCATACTAACAGTGTAAAAAGAAAACATATCTTGAAAAGTTTAAAGTTGTAGCAGGACAGGGGACAAAATGAGGACCAACAAGAGGAGGTCACAAGAGGATAAACTCTCAGTCATGCAGGCAAGGATGTTGTCGTAACTGTAACTCCTCGAAACAGTCTCGGGAAGAACTGATTTCCTTAGCCCCAGACGTTTTCACGTGGAAGGTGCACCAACACTCGCCAGGGGGCGTGCAGAGAAATCTATACATTAGAGAGGAATTAATCTGACTCGAGGACCCCAGGAGTTAGTCTAGTTCTGAGTTTCTACTCTCTCAGGAAGGGGATTCTCTCTGTCAGGTGTCTGTGTGCTCTTTTCCTGCCCCCGGGGTTCCCGCACTCGGAGAGAATCTGACGGTCACGCATCCCCGGGGGTGCTGTCCGTCTATGCCGTGTAGCTGGTTAAAAAGAACGCTGGTGTTGTGCCTCACTCTCCACAGCATCCCCACTGGGAAAAACCTCGGGGACGAGCCCAAGCTACCTTTTTAAAGGCCTGGCTATGGAAATCCAGGTCAGCAGGCAGGAGGAATGTGACAGTCTGAAGTCGGGAATGAAGGCTTGTTTCCCGAGTGTGTGAGTAAGGGGGTAAGCAGAATTCTATGTCAGATAATGAAGATTTCACGAGGGTCAGGGTGACTCAGCCCAAGAGGGTGAACTGCTCCGTGGTTCACACATTCCTTGTTACCCTAACCTATTTCTCCTGGGACTTCAAATGTCAAGAGCTGCCTCTTCACAGTATCTCATGCTTTTTGTGCTTTATAGTCTACAGAGAATTTTACAGAATGGTAGAAAAGATAAAAAACAAAGAAACTCTGTAAAAATAGGATTGAAAAATCTAGATTAGCTATGCTAACAAAAAGGAGCAGTAGCAGGTTTAATTCAAACACCACAGAGATGGGGGAGGGTATAACTCAGTGGTAGAGTGCATGCTTAGGATGCACAGGATACTGGGTTCAATTCCCAGTGCCTCCACTAATATATAAACAAATAAAATTACCTCCCCCCCAAAAC